ATAGCTGTGAGAAAAATTACATTATTAGCATTCATAGCATAGCCTATAACATACTGTATTTCCATTACTTAAGAGTAGCATTTGTTTGATCTATTCAGAGCAATTCTGGATAGGAATATCTAATTCATAGACACAATCTTATTACAGCATCTGAGACCAACAGGACTATTGCTGCCTTTCCTGTGCACCACAGGACTTCTGGGTACAGACTGTAGGGATACATTCATGTTTAATTATTATGAAAATGTCATGTAAAGAATGAGAAGGGAGTTAAATCACTGTACAAAGATTTAAACTGGAAGCTGGTAAGGTTTTAATAACACTCTGCATGTGAATTATGTTTCCAATAACACATAAAAGTATTATGAAGCTTTAGCTGGTATAAAGCAGTTTCTTATGGCTTAATGTATTTGAAAAGAGAATGGCTGTACTTTGTGGTAACAGAAATACCAATTATGAATCAAACTCATGGTTTAATTCACTTAATTATAGCTACAGTTAAGGCAAAAGCCATGTTTAAATACTTCTTCTTCAGTTTGTGAAAGTGGAGAGACAATATTCCTTTCTCATATTTATTGGAGTACAGTACGAAACCCCAGCCGCTCACCGCGCTGCCCTGCGCCCTCTTGGCGTGCCTCTCGTTTTAGCGGGACTCCAGCCATACTGCAGGCCACCTCCTACCTCTGCCATCCACCACACAGAAATGGCGGTTCCTCCGTCACTGGCCGTTTCTCTTTGTACCAGCACCTCCAGCCCTAACTCCGTATCCTGGGATACAACCTTGCAGATGTTACGAGCATCTACGGGAGAGGGTAGAGAGGCAATTTTGAAGGAAGCTAGCACACCTGATACGTGGCATATCGGGTGCCTGTGCCTGGGTTTTGGCGGGAATGTCTTTGAGGAGGGCTCAGGGCTACCCCATGCCTGACACAGCTGGTTCCAGCCAGTCCCACAGCAGCCCCACCACAAGGCACAGCTGAGCCCATCACCAACACTGATGGAGCCTCTGTGGTAGCAGATTTAAGAAGGGGAAAACCACACAGCTGTGAGGAGTGAGGAAAAAAGTGTGAGAAAGGAGCTCTGCAAGCACCCAGGTCAGAGAGGGAGGACGTGCTCCAGGTCCCGGAGCAGAAACTCCCCTGCAGAGACCATGGTGGAGCAGATTTTTTTCCTGAAGGAGTACAGCCTGTGGAGAAGATCCACGCTGGGGCAGGGGAAAAGCATGAGCTCTAGTTTGCGTAAGCTGAGAACAGCACATGTACTTGCTCCATCACAAGCCATGCGAATTGTCCCTGAAAAAATCCAACCTGCTAAGACCACTTTGCCTCAGCAGGTGAAAGCAACAGCATCACCGGACATTTTGAAGATGGCTTATGGTGGCCTTATGTAAAAAGTTGCTTGCTCTTCAGATTCTTCTTCATTTTACTTACTAATGCAGAGAGGATGAGCAGCTCTGTTCTTCCAGTACAGTCACTGCAATAAAAAAAAGTTTAAAAAAAATCCCATGCTGGTGTAGTGAGTTCTAGCTACAGACTAATTAATATCCCTCTGCAAGAAAAATTAACATGTTAAGGAGTATTTAGAAGAAGGGATTTTTATTTTATTGCAAGATTTTTACCTCATATACGTGGAAGCATTATTCTGTTAAAAAAAAAAAAGGCCTCATCACAACCCTGGCTGCAGGGGAGCCATGACAGAGCCTGATAGCTCCGATTTGTCCTGACTGCTCCTTTTAGGAATTAAATGGCAGTCTTCAGCCTCAGCCCCCATCTCTACATCTGCTTTAGCTGGAAGTGAGAACATCCAAAATTTACACAGATGGACCCCTTTTGGCCTCAGGACAGCTGCCAACTCTTCAGAAGCCACTGCTATTCTGTTCCCACTGCTCCACCTCTGAGAAGGCAACCACAATATTTCATGTACATTTAATACTAACATGAAATATTTATTACCCTTTCCAGCTTTAAGTTCTGTTTAGCATTTTATCTCAAATTGGCACAAAAAAACCCCACTGTACAACTGGAAAGATTTCAGTCCCTAAACCCATGAAAGCTGCAGTTAAGTGAGTTGCTTCACAATTCACAATTAAAAGTTTATTTGCATTGTCCATAATCAATCTTCTTACACTCTAAATTACCTTGTTATTACAGGAACTTTTTAAGAGATGTCAAAGGATTTGAACCTGCATTATCTCATTACTCTTACGCAATCTGCCAATAAATCAATGTATTGTGTATGACTGGAAGTGCCTGGCATATTCTTCCTAACTGTCTACCCCAACAGTAAAACTCACCTTAACACCCCTGAGCATTTCAGACTCCACACCTCAACCTCCGATATAACACAAAGCCCTCATACTGCAGCATCCCATCTCTAAAAACACACAAGAGTGCAAACTGGCCCCAGCCCAGCCCACTGGCCAAGCATACAGGATTTTAGGTTACCCGTTGGGCTTCCCTGCCCGCACAGCCAGCCTTGCCCCTGATAATTGGGGCACCCACAGCCTCTGTCCACCTGCACAAGGGGCATGAGGGGAAGATAGACACAATGTCAGCAGATGGTCTGTAGAACAAGGTGAACGAAAGCGAAAACTCAACCCACAACAAAGGTGGAGGATGCATGTTGAGGTCCAGCTGGAACAATGCAGGAGGCACACGAGTGGCACAGCACTGAGGCTCAGCCAGGGCACACACCACAGAACAGCGGCACGAGGAAAGGACAAGAGTGCTGCGAGATGGGGACGCACAGCAGGGTAGGGCTGGTGTGCAGCTGAGGGAACAAGAGATGCCCAAGGAAAGGCTGGGGTCAGCCTGCCACACCTGCACTCCACGTGTGCTGCTGCAGGAAGAAAGGGCTGAACCTGAGCACCCTTATGCTCAGTCACCCCAACAGGGTACTGCCACCCAGTCAGCTGGGGGACAGAGCCTGCAGGCTGGGTGGGGACACCAGCAGCAGCTCCTCTGGGTGTGCAGGGCTGCAATGGGTCAGGCCCTCACCCAAGTCTGGTGGAGGCCCTGGGACCACACGCCAAGGAATCGCACCTCAATGCTCCTCTGCCCCAGCAGTGATGCTTTAGCATGCCAGCACCCTCCTTCCCAGGGGCATGCAAAGGTCATTTTTCAGTTCCTCCCCAAGGTGGACAAACAGTTTAAGTCCAACTCAAAGGATTGAAAGGTATTGTTTAAAAAGAAAA